TACATGCTCAGCTGCTAACCAAAAGGTCAGTGATTCAAACCCACCAGCTGCTCCACTGGAGAAAGATATGACAACCTGTTTCCATAAAGATTACAGCCTTGTGCTTATGCACAGGGAGACAGCTCAGGGCGCAGGAGAGTATGGAGGGGGCAGGAGAGTATGGAGGGGGCAGGAGAGTATGGAGGGATGGTCACTGGGAAGAGGTAACTATGGGGAGGAAGTGGGAGGGGAGCTGTTGCATTGTGGTAAACTGTGGTCAATGACATGAGACAAAGTATATGTGAACTGCTGTATGGAAAGTGAATTTGCTCTGTAAATCTGCACCCAAATAAAAATAAATAAATTTAAAAAAAAATTAAATTAAAAAAAAAAAAGATTACAGCCTTGGACCCTATGGGGCAGTTCTACTCTGTCCTATAGGGTTGCTATGAGTCAGAATCAATTTGGCAAAGGGAGTAACAACAGAGCTGTTACCCATCCCTAGGCCCAGAAGGGAAGAAGCAGTGGAGTGGGTGGTTCCTGGAAGCCCAAGTGAGAGGTTTGTGTAGAAAGGGGCTTCTTGAGATGAGTGTGACCTTTGGTTGCCAGATGCAGCCAGTTTGAGACAAATCCGTAAAGAAGAGTCAGGACAGTAAATAATCTGACCTCATTTCTCTCTGTCTTTTTCATCTGCTAGAGATATTTTTTGGTCAAATACAACTGGAAGCCAGAGTGCAAGGAAGCCCATTGAGGTTAGTCCCTGGTCAGCTGGAGAAGGGCATAGACTAGATCTAGGGGTAGGGGACAAATGGAAATATCTGGTGCACTAAATGAACAAAAGTGGACTGTGCACAGACCAATGATGAATAAAAATGACCAGGTTATATAATGCAAGGATTATAGTTTATCCAATTCCTTGCAACTGAGAGCCTTAAAAAAATCCTTTGACCCCTAATAATTTATTTTGTGTCTCTAGAAATGCCTTAAAATTGTGATTTATGACTTGTTGTTGTTGTGTGCCATTGAGTCGAACCTGACTCATAGCGACCCCTCCTTGGGTTTCCGAGGCAGTATCACTACGGAAATAGATTGCCCAATCTTCCTTCTGAGGAGTGGCTGGTGAGTTTGAACCACCAGCCTTCTGGTTAGCAGCAAAGTGCCTTAGGCACTATGCTACCAGAGCTCCTGACTAGATTTTCAAAATCTCAATTACTTTTAGTCATGTTGGTAGACCAATCTTGGACATAATTTTTTTTTAATTTGTTTTTATTAAGCTAAGAAACTTTTCCAAGGGTAGTTAATGACACAGACAGAATTTTCACCCAAGCAGTCTAAAGCCCCTATGTGCTTTTTTTTTTTTTCAGTTTTGTTGTGATGTGGGTGAAAGTTCAAAGAGCAAATTCACTCTTCATACAGCAGTTCACATACACTTTGTCTCATGACTATTGACTGTAATCTCCCACAATGCAACAGCTCTCCTCCCACTTCCTCGCTATAGCCACCTCTTCCCTGTGCCTTTCCCTCCCATGCACTCCTGCCCCCACTCCCAGCTGTCTCCCTGTGCATACACAGTCCTGCTATTCTCCCATGATTGATCTCTCCAAGGAGTGTATCTACCTAATGTAAATGTTCAGTTCATATGCCTGTTTGGCTGGAAGCCATGGGAGTGGGTTCAGTTCCAGACCTGAAGGGGAGCTAGGGGCCATAGTCTCAGGGGTTCCACCAGGCTCTATCAGATCAGCAAACCAGGTCCTCCCCTCCTTTTTTTTTTTTCATGATTTTTAGTTTTGTTCCACCTTGTTCTCCCACTCTATCCAGGATCTACTACATCATGTTACATAGATCCCCCTCCAAGTGGTTGACAGTGGTAGCTGGACACCATCTAGTTCTTCTGGTCTCATAGTTATATAGGCTGAGGATCACATAGTGTACAAGTGCCTTGGACTAACTGTTTTCATGCATCTTTGGTTTTCTTCATTCTTCTTTGCTCTGGTTGAGGAGAGACCCATCGTTGTATCTAGATGGCTGCTTTTAAGATCCCAGTAGCTACTTGCCAAAGTAGGATGTGCAACAATGTTTTCGTGTAGTATGTTATGGCAATTGAGCTTCATGTCCCCTGCGACCATGGTCAATCTTGGACATCATTTATCTTTGATTCTGAATAGTCTCTTGTCTGAATATTCTGGCATGTGGCTACTGGGGGTTACCCTTCACTACCCACGTAGTAAGAAAGACCCACTTCATGCTCTTATGTGAGTACATGTGTGGCTTTAGGCAGACAACCATTCTGGTACTACCAGGGAACTCTGGAAATAGGCTACATGGGTCCTTCCTGCTGTAGCCAACTTTGAGTGGACATTAGTGTGTTCTCTCTCCTACAGGTGGAGGTAAGCAGAGGTGGGTGAGTCAGGACAAAAAACAGACTTTCCTACAGAAACCATAGCTCAGGACTGCAGGCAGAAATCCAGCTGCCCTTCCCATCCTTCTCAGCCCTGGACTATACTGAAAGAAACCTTTCTCCAGAGATAAGAGGTTCTGGAGCATGAAGGCCATCATGTCTTCTGTCAGGGAGTTCCCTGACAAGTCCAGCCTCCGCAGGTTTCTAGCAATACTGAGCCTTTAGACCCTAGTGATGGAATGAAGTACTTAGAAAAGCTACAGACCTCTTAAGTCACTGCCATGGACAGGGGTAAGGCTCTCTCTTGACTTCTTCCTCCCAATTACCCATCCTGCAAGTCTGGGTCCTGAGAATAGGTAGAGTGGATGGTCAGTCATATGGTATGACACAAAGGGCTTCAAAAGGCTTGCCTGACCCTCAACTATCTCCCTTGCTAGCCTTAGGTTCTGTCTGAAGTTTTCATCAATCAAGTCATTCCTTTATGCTAAAAATTTGTTTCAAGAAGTCCTCTGCTAAAATGTATGTGAACCCTAAAATGGTATTGTGCACTTTTGTTATTTCTTTTGTCTGCACAATATCTTATGTTTTGAGAACTTCACACCTTACAAGTGTTTATAGGAAGCAGAGCCTACCTTCTAGTATAGATGCTTCACCAAAAACACAGCATTGGCTGTCTCAGACTCTCTTGTGGTCACGGTCAGCTAACTAGGTGCCCCTGCTCCAGTTCAGTATTAAGGGGTGGCTGAGTAAGGTTCTCACAGTTGTTGCTTATGGCATGATTTGGGCTGAGGTCCCAACTGCTGCATAGCATCCCCTGTTCCTGCTCATTTCCATGCCTATCCATAACCTTTCTCAGAGAGGCTATGAGCACCCCAATATCCTTTAAGTCTCCATGCTGCCTAAATAAGACAGTATCATCTTCAAATGCTAGCAAATGAGAACACTGACTGATGCAAGGGGTGACACATTAACTCAAGAGAAGCCATAAACGCATCAGATACAGATTTTTTTTCTAGCTAATTTTGAGCTAATTTGTCCAATTAGCTAGTTGTCACCTTGGGAAACAGCAGCACCCCATGGAAAGAGTATTTGTTGGAAGGAGAGAGAATAAAAAAAGTCTGGTCTTAAGGGAATTGGCGTGTAGACAGGAGTGTTAAGGCAACCTGAGGGACACCCAAGGCACTAGACTGGGACAATGCAGCATGGAGAGAGACATGACAGGAAAGAATGGGGGACAAAATAAGGGCAATATTTGCCATGGACTGACACCAATGCTACTGAATGGGTAGCTTCACTGAAAGGCCTTGTTTATACCTTTATAGAGCGTCCAAGGCATATTTCTACTTTGTCAAAGACCACAGCTGACATTTAGTGTATGTGATAATAGTAATCCATTTGTGAGATTTCTATTCTCCCCTTTCTCCATGCCACAGTCTCTTTATGATTTAACAAGCAAAGATAAACAGTGCAAGACAGTGTAAACTCAAACCACATACAGGGCAGGGGCTGTGTTTTAGTTATCTTCTCCCCCAGAAAAAACCACTCCATTGCCATTGAGTTGATTCTGACTCATGGTGATCCTATGCTACAGAGTAGAACAGCCCCATAGAGTTTCTAAGGCTGTGAATCTTTATGGAAGCAGCCTGCCTCATCTTTCTCCTGCAGAATGGCTGGTGGGTTTGAACCATCAACATTCCAGTTAGCAGCCCAATGCTTTAATCACAGCCCCACCACAGCTCCTTCTTCTCCAGAGAGGAGCACAGAAATCGTTCCCCATTCTTTGAAGGAAGAGAGGCAAAAAGGAAACTAGGAGTGTGGTGCGTGCAGATACTAAACACCTGCTAAGAAGTTGTTTGTGATTTTTTGTGAAGAGTAGGGATGGTCTACAAGTTAGCAGAATTCACTCTTTTCTGTATTCTTCCTTATTTTCAAAACAAGGATTGTGTTTGGTGTTTAATTTACTAAATAGATAAACTTGGCGACCTAGCAATTGTTCTCTTAACTTTTCTATGGAAAAGTCATGTCTCTCTGCCAGAGACTCCAGGTTTGAATGCAGGGCACATGGAGAGGGCCCGTCCACAGCCCACTTCGACAGCAGTGCCATAGGCCAACCGAGACAGAAGGTGAGAGCTCTCATCTCATGGAACTGCCTCCACCTGCTCTCCTGGAAATTCATGTCCTTGGTGAATCCCAGGAGGTACTGACTCTCACCATTCATAGAAAGAGCTCTTGGAGTTGTTTGTGCTATAGAGAAGCACAGAATCACTGCCCTTTCTCACCAGCTCCATGGATGTCACCAAGAGAAGGGTGCTGAAAAATAATTCCAATGAAGCTACCGAAAAACGTGGGGGAAAAAAAAAAAATCACTGCATTTGATTAAAAAATATTTGAGACACCTTGTCTTTTATTTTCATGGAATGTTCCTTAATAAATATTTTACCAGGATGATGATGGTGAATGACAATGACGAAGGATGAATGGGGGGACTAAGAGATGGAAACACTTCAAATTTTAATGTAAACCTCAATTCATGAGACTTGGCTTCTGTACCAGCTCTTGAAACCCAGCAGAGAGTGTCCTTACAGGCATAGGCCAAACTACTAACCCTGGCAGGCAGCCAGGGTCAGTATATGGAGGACCACTGGCAGCGGCTCTTGATTACCTGAAGCAGAGGCTTCTTAAAAGTAAGGAAGATGACGGTACAGGCCACCAGCAGGGTGAGGCAGCTGGGGAGAATGAGCACAAGGTACAGCAGGCCCATGTCCACGCGCTCCCATTTACAGTCCTGAGGCACCTCTCTGGGCAGGTCCACCAAGCGGATTACCTTGGAGGAGAGGTTGCAAGTGACCATCACGAAATCGGGGATGCGTAGCATCTGCAGGTGCTGCAGGGCCCTCCAGCCCTCCACCCTACAGCAGTCATATGGATTCTGACTGAGGTAGATGGTCCGCAGGCTCCTTGTGAGCTGCTCAGATGCAGCCCTCTGGGGAAGGGCTGTGAGAGAGTTTCTGCGGAGATCTAGAGTCTGCAGGGACAGGCTGCCCCCAAACGTGGGGAAACTGGTCAAGTAATTTCCCGACAGATCCAAGTCCCTCAGACTCCTAAACCCAGAGAAGTCCAACTCCATGAAGCTGGAACTTAGGCCCACATTCCTGAGAGACAGGACCTGTAACGTGGTGGCAATATCCTGGAGAGGGGTGATGCTTGCATTCAGAATGCCCCAATTGCTCGAGAGGTCTAAGTGAGTGAGAGAGGTCCCCTGGAATGAGCAGTCGTGTAGGGTCCCCAGCCCACAGCCCTGCAGAGAGAGGCTTCTCAAAGACATCATATTCCTAAAATCTACACAGCTGGGGGTACCCACCTGGTCTAAGTGAACTGGCAGAGGACACAGTGAGATCTGATTGTGGCTTATGTCTATTGTAGTGATGTTACTGGCACCAGCAAAAAGGCCAGTGGGGATACCCAGGAGCTGGTTGAAGCTCAGGTTAAATACTTGGAGGCTCTGTAGGCAGCTGGTGAGCCCTGGAGCCCATTGCAGCTCTGACAGCTGGTTCTGACTCAGGTCCAGCTCAATGAGTGCTCCTGGGGGCTCATGCTCCTGGATATGGAGGGTCATCAGGCAATTTTGATTGAGGTTCAGGTGGGAGAGGGAAGGCATTTTCTTCAGGAAGCCATCTGGCAGGTATTGGAACTGGTTCTGGCTCATATCTAGGAAGCGGAGATCTGAAAGGTCGCTGGAAGCAAACTCTTCCCAGAGGTTAACTGTGGTGATATTGGTCACATTGCCATCCACAAGGAGGAACTGGGCCACCATCTCCTTTGGTGACGAGGTGTTATACAGGTCCTTGTAGAAGCCCATGTTATTGTCCCGTAGGAGGAGGGTATGCAGCTTGCTGCATTGGGGCAGGAGCGGGAAAAATAGCAGCTGATTGTGAGAGAGGTCCAGTGTCTCCAACTCAAAGGCATCCTCTCCCCCTGAAGCCAGGAACCACTCTAGGGCATTGTAGCTGACATTGAGGAACCGTAGCTGTGTAAGGCCAAAGTCCACAATGCAAGGAAGGTTATTATAGGCCAGGTTGAGATGTCTAAGCTCCATCAAGCCATCAAAAGCACCACCCTCGATCTCAAAGATGTAGTTCCTCTGTAAATCCAGCTCATGGAGGTGCCCTAGACCCTCAAAGACAGAGTCATCGAGCCTCATGATGGTGTTCCTCGCCAGGGACACAGACTCCAGCGATGAGAGGTTCTGGAGCATGAGGGCCATCATGTCTTCTGTCAGGGAGTTCCCCGATAAGTCCAGCCTCCGCAGGTCCTGGAGGGAGTGGAAAGCAGCTGCTGTCTCCTTGTAGTTCTCTGAGAGAGCGTTGTCAGCGAGAGCCAGGCTGTGCAGCTGGGCTTGCTCCTGGAAGGCGCCACGGCTAATGGATTCCAGATGGCAGCTGTTCAGACTGAGGCTCTCCAGGTGAGGGTAGTGCTGGAGGGAATGGTTCCACAGGGTCTTGAGAGGGTTGGCATCCAGAATGAGCGTCTGGGAATGGGGTGAGAGATCACTGGGCACTGAAACAAGGTGCTGCTCTCGACAGTCGGCAACTCTACCCACCTAGGTCCAAAAACAGACTGGTCAGCAGGAAAGAGGCCTTAGAGGCAGAAGTTCATACAGAGGAACTTAGTTCATTTATAAGACTTCCTATAGTCACTGGGAGTGGCTCTAGAGATCATGAGCTACAATAGGATAGGAAAATTTAGAATGAAAAGGAACTTTTCTTTGTTCTTTACCATCATACTTCAATAGGTAGCTAGGAGCTGACTTGCAGACATCACTTGAAATACACAGAGGGTTAGAGAAAGATCTAGGCACCTGTTCATCAGGTGCCAGGAGGTGACAACTGTACTTGCAGTTTAATTTTCACTATGAGAAGGAAAACCAGATATCTACCTGGATTTGAAACCCACCTCAGCCACTTATTTCCTGTGTGACTTTGGGTGAGAAAAGTAATTCCTACTTTGGAGGATTGTTGTGAGGTTAAATGAGAGAACACACAAAGAACTTAGCACAGCACCTGCCATATAGTCAGCATGTGGTAAATAGTCACTACTGCATTGTTACAAGGAGCCCTGGTGGCACAGTGGTTAAGTGCTCGGCTACTAACCCAAAGGTCAGTGGTTCAAACTCACCAGCCGCTTCATGGGAGAAAGATGTGTCAGTCTGCTTCTGTAAAGATTATAGCCTTGGAATTCATACAGGGGCAGTTCTACTCTGCCCTGTGGGGTCACTGTGAATCAGAACTGGCTTGACAGCAGTGGGTTTGGTTTTGGTTTATCACGTTGTCATTACTATCTCCAGAACACATCCAACAGAAACACTGCCCAGGAACCTGTAATGTTGTTGCATCTTCATTTTACCAGAAGTGGTTTTACCTGGAAGGTTTCCCTACATCTAGATGGATACCAATTTGATGAGTCTACAGAGACCTTAGAGGTCAATCCACCTCAAATTGCACAGGATTGTACAGTAAAGTGGGAGGAGTGAGGAGAAGTGAAAAGCTGGGACCAGAGCCCAGAGCTCCCAATGTCCAATTCAATCCTCTTTCTGAATACCATCCTGCTATGACTGTGCAGGGACAGAAGGCAGGTGGAATGGAGGTGCCCCTGGCCTCATCACAGACACCACACAAGCCTCAGGATACTTTAACTCAACCCATTGTTTTGCAAGATTGGCAAGAACAAATGAAGGTAGAATACCCCTTATGGGTCCAGGAAAAAAAGAGTTTTAAGTGATGGGATGGGAGAGCAATGACCTGCCTTTCTACAGTTTAGTCAGTAAGACAAAGCTCGTGATTGGCTGAAATTGTGGGCCCAACAGAAAACAAAAAACCAAACCCACTGCCATCAAGTTGATTCCAACTCATAGTGACCCCCAGTGGGTTTCCAAGGCTGTATATCTTTACAGAAGTAGATCACCTCATCTTCCTCCCATGGAGCAGCTGGTGGGTTTGAACCACTGACCCTCTGGTTAGCAGCCAAATGTCTTACTCACTGTATTACCTTACTCACTACACCACCAGAGCTCCTTCAGTACCAGGGGCCTAGTGGACTAGTGGAGTTTAGAAAATCCTGCTATAGAGGAAGAAGCACAGGTTTGGAGGATGTTACGGATTGAATTGTGTTCCCCAAATATACGTGTTGTGAATCCTACCCCTATGCTTGTGGAGTAGGAGCTCTGGTGATGTAGTGCCTAAGGCATTTGACTGCTAACCAGAAGGCTGGCGGTTCAAACCCACCAGCTACTCCTCGGAAGGAAGGCTGGGCAATCTACTTCCATAGTGATACCGCCTAGGAAACCCAAGGAGGGGTTGAATCCAACTCAATGGCAGTGAGTTTGTTTTGTTTTTTTTAATACTTGTGGAGCTCTGGTGGTATAGCCTAAGACATTGTGACTGCCAACCAAGGTTGGCAGTTCAAACCCACCAACCACTCTGTGGAAGGAAGACTAGGGAATCTACTTGCATAAAGATTTACTGTTTCAGAAACCCAAAGGGGGTCACTATGAGTCAGAATCAACTCAGTGGCAGTATGTTTGGTTTTTTTGCTTGGACTCATGGATATAATCTCATTTAGAAATAGGGTTTTCTTTGTTATGTTAATGAGACCATATCTATATAGTTAGTATTATAAAACAATCACTTTTGAGATGTAAAAAATGGAGAGGAAGATACACAACACATGAAGATCTCCAAGGAGCTGAGGAACAGAAGCTGGAAAGGGACAAGGAGCCTCCTCCTGAGCCCACAGAGAAAGCCTTCCCCTTGAGCCAGCACCCTAACTCAGACTTTCAGCCTAAACTGTGAGAGAATGAATGTATGTTCATTAAAGCCACCCACCTGTGGTATTTCTGTTATAGCCGCACTCGATAACTAAGACAGAGGGTAACAGACTCAAGTCTGAATTCAGCTCTGCCACTTCCCAGCTTTGGATCCTGGGCAAGAAATTAACTTCTGCATTCTCAAGTGCTTCATCTGATCATTAAAAAATAAAACCTCCTAATGATTAAAAATTGGTGCAGCATAAAAGTATAGAAAATTAAATTCTTCATTAATCTCAGCTTCTCCCTCAGAGAAATACCACTAATCTTTTGTTATATATCCTATTGATATTTTAAAAAAGATATTATCTATCCCATTTTTCACTTTAACAAAATGAGACCACAGTCTATAATCTGTTCAGTAATCAATTTTTTGTCAACAATATATGATAGACATAGTGCTCTAGCAACATAAATCAATTCAATCATATTCTTTTGGTTGTTGTTATGTGGCATTGATTCTATAGCATCTACAGAATTGCCCCCTAGGGTTCCCAAGGTTGAAATCTTTACAGGAGCAGATTGCCAGGTCTTTTCTCCCATGGTTAGCAGCTGAGCGCTTAACCATCGTGCCACCAGAGCTCCCGATATCCCTTTTAGCAGTTGTTTATTAGTGCATTGCATGATTAGTATGGTAGTTAAGAACAAGAGTTCTAAGGTCAGGCAATCTGGGGTCCAATCTTAGTTCTGCTTTTTATCAGATGGGTGATTTTGAGTTGGTTATTTCAATCAGGTAGGTCCTCCATCATCCCGTCTGTCAAATGGAAATTATACTTGTAATTTTCTCATAGTTTCATAGTTTTTTTTTTCTTTTTCTTTTTTTAGGGTTCAATGTGATTGTTCATGTAAACAGAACTTGGCACATAAATGCTTAATAAATGTTAGCTATAATTATTAGCCAGAGCTCTGATAGCATAGTGCCTAAGGCACTTGACTGCTAACCAGAAGGCCTGGGGGTTCAAACCCTCCTGCCTCTCCTCGGAAGGAAGGTTGGGTAATCTACTTCTGTAGTGATACCGCCTCGGAAACCCAAGGAGGAGTCCCTATGAGTCGGGGCCGACTCGACGGCAAATAACAACAACATATTACATTATGGGAGCTCTGGTAGCATAGTGGCTAAGGCACTTGACTGCTAACCAGAAGGCTGGCAGTTCAAACCCACCAGCCACTCCTCAGAAGGAAGATGGGGCAATCTACTTCCCTAGTGATACTGCCTCGGAAACCCAAAGAGGGGTTGCTATGAGTCGGGTCCTACGCCATGGCATATAACAATAACCACAACATAATTATTAGCATGATATAATTACTTGCTCTCCTATTGTTGAGCATTTGAGCTGTTTCTAATTTCCAGATGAATGTAAGAATGAAGTTTTCAAGTTCCCTTTACACAATTCTCCCCAGCAAAGTCTCTGGAATTTTTATTTGAAGTGTGTTATGAATTAATTTGGGGGAAGAACTGACATCTTTACAAATTTGAATCTCTCCATCCAGAAACAAGGTGTATTTCTTTAGTTGAGTAGGTTTTGCTCTCCCCTCTCTATGGGGACTCTCTGGAGAATGCTGTGGTTAGGGGCCTTCCCAAAGCTGAGAGATTCTGCAGCTACAGGGTCATGCCTTCACAAGTTCTGGTGGCCCCACTGAAGTGCTGCAGAGGGACCAAGTGGCTTTCAGAGTCCACGAGAGTTCTACTGTGTCCACTTTATTAGAAAATTGTATGCTCATGCAGTGAAGGGCAATAGAGGGTACTAGGAGTCTTAAACTCTCAGCCCTCAATTCAAAAGAAAAGAAAAGCAAACCAGTTGCCATTGAGTAAATTTCAACTCACGGCAACCCCATATGTGTCAGAGTAGAATTGTACTCCATGAGGTCTGATTTTTTAATAAGTAGATCACCAGGCCTTTCTTCTGAGGCATCTCTGGGTAGACTTGAATGGCCAACCTTTCAGTTAGCAGCTGAGCGCTTAACCGTTCATACTACTCACCAAAACCCATTGCTGTTTAGTAAATTCCAACTCATAGCAACCCTACAGGACAGAGTAGAACTGCCCCATAGGATTTCCAAGTTTGTAAATCTTTATGGAAGCAGACTGCTGTGGAGTCCCTGTGTGGGTTTGTACTGCCTACCTTCTGGTTAGCAGCTGAGCACTTAACCACTGCATCACAAGGACTCCTTTGCACTGCCCAGGGACTTCTCAATTTGAAAGAGCCACAGGAAATCCACTCTTTGATCTCATTGACAGCTGAGCCCCTTCTCCTGTCCACTAGACTGGAGAGGGTCAGGCGCAGAGGCTAGGCTGAACCCTGAAGGGCTGTCAAAGAATCCACACCTTATTTCCGCCTATTTCTATATCTGGTAACCCCTGAATGATTACCATAAAGTTAATCTATTGCTCCTGAAAGGGAGTGATAGAAGTCTGTTTAGCAGAGACTAATAATAATACCTTTCTGGTTAGCAGTCAAATGCTGTAGGCACCATGCCACTAAACCAAACCAAAAAAACAAACTCACTGCCATCAAGCTGGTCCCAACTCATATCGATACCCCTTGGGTTTCCTAGGCAGTATCACTATGTAAGTAGATTGCCCAACCTTCCTTCCAAGGAGTGGCTTGTAGGTTTGAACTGCCAGCCTTCTGGTTAGCAGTCAAGTGCCTTAGGCTTTATGCCACCAGAGCTCCCACCACGCCACTGTTGTTGTTGTTGTTGTTATGTGCCGTCGAGTCGGACCCAACTCATAGCGACCCCCCTTGGGTTTCCGAGGCAGTATCACTACGGAAGTAGGATTGCCCAACCTTCCTTCCGAGGAGTGGCTGGTGGGTTTGAACCGCCAGCCTTCTGGTTAGCAGTCAAGTGCTTTAGCCACTATGCTACCAGAGCTCCTCTCAGTACTTTATGTATATTAATTTATTTAATCTTCGTAACAAACCATTGTTACAGTATTCTTGGTAGGTAGGTATCATTATTATTTCCATACTTTACAGATGAGGAAAGTGAAGCACAGAGTGCCACCTCCCTAACTATCAAAATCTATTAAGACATGTTGTTGTTGTTGTTATGTGCCGTCGAGTCATACCTGACTCATAGCGACCCCTCCTTGGGTTTCCGAGGCAGTATCACTACGGAAGTAGGATTGCCCAACCTTCCTTCCGAGGAGTGGCTGGTGGGTTTGAACCGCCAGCCGTCTGGTTAGCAGGCAAGTGTCTTAGCCACTATGCTACCAGAGCTCCCATTAAGACATAGAACTTGGATTTAAACTTGGCCAATCTGGCTTTCAGTTAGCAGCTTAACTGTTTATACTACCCACCAAAACCATTGCTGTTTAGTAAATTCCAACTCATAGCAACCCTACGGGACAGAGTAGTACTGTCCCTGTGCCTGAAAAGGGGGAGGGGAAGTGAGGGAAAACTGAAAAAGTAATCTTCAGAGAGTGTTGTTGTTGTTAGGTGCTGTCAAGTTGGTCCCAACTCAGTGAGCCTACGGACAACAGAAGGAAGCACTGCCTGGTCCTGCACCATCCTCCCAATCACTGTTATGCTTGAGCCCATGGTTGCAACCACAATGTCAATATATCTCATTGAGGGTCTTCCTCTTTTTCACTGACCCTCTACCAAACATGATGTACTCCTCCAGGGACTGGTCCCTCCTAATAACATGCTCAAAGTACATGAGACAAAGTCTTACCATCCATGCTTCTAAGGAGTATGCTATAGAATGTAGGGGTTAAAGTTTATTACAAGTGGCTAAGAACAATGACAGCTGTTTTTTGTAAACATCTGTCAGCTTTTAAGAACACATTCTTGAATGTAAGTATCCAATTACATTTTGTAATTGACAATTACATTGTCCAATTTGTCTTCCCCATGCCTAGGACTGAAGGAATGTTTATTAAATGTATGTTTCTCAAGCAGACTCTTGATACCATTGAGTTATGGGGAAAGGGGAAAAAGTTTCTAGAAATATGGTCAATTGCTATGACCCAAGCCTGCTGTTGCATAGGCTGAAAGCCCTAGAGAGGGTCACTTAAAGCTCAGGTACCCACTACTTGGATCTCCTTAAGCCTAAGCATGGTCAAGGATGTTGCTCTGAGTACAGTATGGACCACGTGCTCCCCAGGCCAGCTATTTAAGCACTTGCTGTTGGCTCATACACAGGCTCTGAGGCTAAGGTCCTTCAACCTTAATGGAGCTCAACCGTCCAGGTCTTTAACAAGGTGTTGTTATTCTAGGTGTCTGACCTAGGCTTGTCTCTGGAGCTTCTTGTTTTCAGGAGGTATGAATAAGATGGGACAGGCACTGCCTGGCTTTTCACAAGCATCATCTTAGAAAACCTTTGGTTAAAGAGCAGCTTGCACATGGCATTATGCTAGGCAGATGCAGAGTGGTTCACATTTATTTCCTGCCCTCTTTTGCCTGACAATCTATCAACGTCCTAAACTGACCCAGCTTTGTCAAGACAGGAGTGACAGACAATCAGGATTCCCAGGGAAAACTCACCAACTTGCAGCCCCCTTGCGAAGCTGCTGTGGCCATTCCACTTCTGTCCCTCCATTCCACTGTCAAGAAGTGAAAACCTAGGCAGAGCCAAAGGGGCAGCAACTCCATCTCAAGTGCAGCCCTGTGGACAGAGAGCAGAAAAGAAGCAAGTAAGATCCCAGAAGGCTGCTTTGCACTCTCCCAGTACAAAGAGCCAGTTCCCACTTATCTATGTTCTTGGAGACCCACAGCCACCTAGAAGTGGAAACCCACAGATTATTCAAATACCTCAAAGTAGCCAGTATCTTCAAACTTTCACTGAAACTGTCAACAAAAACTCCTTTTCATTTTGCCTCTATCATTTGATGGACAGGTGGCTGAACAGTGAAACTCCCAAGAGTCCAATAACAGAAGAGAGAAGTAAAGGACTTGAGTGAAAAGGTTTCAAGTCTCCTGGAGTTTCCTGTGTTTTATAATTCTGCTGAAACTTTCCTCCCAATAGCTCAAATCTTCTTAATTTTGTTAAATGAATGAATCCATTAATAAATGAATGTTGGACTGGGATTAAAATATTAATTGTAGCCTCTGGTCTAGTAGAGCTATGTCTTGCTGACATAAGACTTTTAGAAAAGAGTAGATCTCATTGGTTAACTCATTTGAATATAGGTCTCTGAAAAAAGACAGTGGTATTTTGCCTGAAAAAGGGGGAAAAAGTGAGAGAATACTGAAAAAGCAATTTTCAGAGATAATAAGGATGACCAATAAAGTGTTGTTATCAGCCCTCCTGCCTGGTCAGTGAACATAGAGCAGGAGTCATGAGAAGGTTTAAAGATACACATTTACCAACAGAACTTTAGAACTAGGAGACACCCTAAGGGAAATGGAATATGTCCCCGCCATCACATTTTTACAGGGTACATACAAAGGTCCAGACAGGATAGATGGTTTTTCCAAAGTTCTAGAACTGGTTAATTGTGACCAGCTTAATTGTGCTCATGAGGAACCTGTACATAGACCAAGAGGCAGCTGTTCAAATTGAGCAAGGGGATACCAAAAAACCACCAAAGTCACTGCTGTCGAGTTGAATCCAACTCACAACGACCCCTTCTTGGGTTTCTGAGGTGAGTTTGAACCCCCAGCCTTCTTGTTAGCAGTCAAAATGCCTTAGACACTATGCCATCAGAGCTCCCAAGGGTATACTTATTACACAGTTTAAAACCAGGAAAGGTGTGTCAGGGTTGTATCCTTTTACCATACTTATTCAATCTGTATAGGAAGAACGCGGCATCAGGATTGGAGGAAGACTCATTAACACCCTGTGATATGCAGATGACACAACCTTGCTAGCTGAAAGTAAAGAGGACCTGAAGCACATACTGATGAAGATCAAGGACTACAGTCTTCAGTATGGATTACACTCAACATAAAGAAAATTAAAATCTTCACAACTGGACCAATAAGCAACATCATGATAAACGGACAAAAGATTTAAGTTGTAAAGGATTTTATTTTACTTGGATCCACAATCAAAGCCCATGGAAGCAGCAGTCAAGAAATCAAACAATATGTTGCATTGGGCAAATCTGTTGCAAAAGACCTCTTTAAAGTGTTGAAGACCAAAGATGCCACTTTGAAGACTAAGGTATCCCTGATCCAAGCCATGGTATTTTCCAAACCTCTCATATGCATGTGAAAGATGGACAGTGAATAAGGAAGATCAAAGAAGAATTGATGCATTTGAATTGTGATGCTGGAAATGAGTACTGACTGTGCCATGGACTGCTGGAAAAACGAACAAATCTGTCTTGGAAGAAGTGTAGCCAGAATGCTCCTTAAAAGTGAGGATGGCCAAGACTTCGTCTATTATACTTTGGTCATGTTATCAGAAAGGACCAGTCCCTGGAGAAGGATACCATATTTGGTAAGTAGAGGGTCAGCAAAAAAGGGGAAGACTCATGAGACGGATTGACACAGTGGCTGCAAAGAGGTGCTCAAACATAGGAAAGATTGTGAGGATAGTGTAGGACCAGGCAGTGTTTCTTTCTGTTTTACATAGGGTCGGTACCAGTTGAAGCTGACTTGACTGCAACTAAGAACACAGCTGGTTAGTGGAAGCAGCCCCCAGGCCTCCCTCCCTGAGCTGCAGGATGAGTTACCAAGAAAAATTACATAATTTCCCTCTCTGTTGGTGGGAACTGACTACCCTCCAGTTGGGAAGCTAATTACTCAATGGCATCCCCTCCAAGCTCTGCATTACTCAAAAGCAGAAGGAAGCACCTGGCCCCACCATTCCATCTGCCTATCCTCTCTCTGACATCCCCCTAGGAAGGGTCACAGAGCCTGTTCTCCATCCTCTTCCTGGGTCACCAGCACCAGTGCTGCCTGAACCTCCTCACCTATCCACCCAGAGTCGCACCGTGCAGACCTTTGCCTGATACTTCTAGGCTATCTTGGGCCCCTTCCTCTTTTCCCTTCTTCAAACAAGGATACACATTTAGAAGGCGAATATTAACTTCCAAGCCAGATTTGAATACTCACTAGTAAAACCAGAATGATAGAAAAGCTAAGTGAAATAAGTTAAATTAACTTTAACTTTCATTTCAGGACAGGTTAGCTTTCCTTACCAGAGGGGGAATCTCCAGTACAAAACAGCAGTACTTGCTGCACACTGGGAATCCCTTCCCAGGCCTTCCTTCCACTTCTGCACCTGTGCAGGATGGGCATGCACAGAGCACAGATGGCCAAAGCAGAGCCATATGGGCTCTTGTGCTCAGAATTCTCCCAGCACCTCTCCCCGCCACACACACCTGGCACAATGGATCATCACCCACCTTGAAGTAAGGTTGCCAGATTTAGCAAATTACAAGACAGTCAGTTAAATTTGAATTTCAGATAACAACAAATAACTTTTTAGTATAAACATGTCCCCAGTTCCACTGAGTGTCCTTTATCTAGGAGAGACAGGGAGACTGAAACCTGGCACATACTCTCCCTCTCTCCCTCACCCCTCTGTCAGGTTTGGGAGGGTGCCTACTTCTGTTATACTCACGCTTCTAGGAGATCCAGCCCCATTTATTCAAATACTGACTCTAGATGTGTACAGGGCAAGAGTGTAATTTCTTCAGAGAGAATGTAATCTCTTCAGAGTGTTATGCTAGGTTGTCCTGGTGTTATGTAGGTCCATAGTGTAATTTTCATCTCTGGATCACCTAGCATATTTTTGCACATTTAAAACGTATTCTCTCATTCCTCCTAAACTCAGACAACCAGCCTAGAAAAGTCTTACTGTGCCCTCTAGGCAACTCCTTCTCCTATGAGGCAGCAGAGCATCATGGGAAGATTATGGGATTTGGACGTAGACAGTCCAGGGTTTGAATTCTGGCTCCATTATTTGTTGTTTGGCCTTAAGTATTTCACATAAAGTATCTGAGACTTAGATTATTCTTCTACAAAATGGAAATAATAATAACCGTTGACATAGTTTTTATGAGGACCAAGCAAAACCAAAACCAAACCCACTGACACTGAGTTGATTCCAACTCATAGCAATCCTTATTGAGTTTCCAAGGCTGTAAATACTTACAAAAATAGGCTACCTCATCTTCTTCCTGTGGAGTGGCTTGGTGGGCTTGAACCACTGAACTTCTGGGGGGTAGCAGCCAAATGCCTTACCCATTATGCTACCAGAGCTCCTTTATGAGGACCAAACAGCATAATATATGTAAAAGTGCTTCATTTACAGTGAAGGTTGTTACTAATGTAATTATTAGTTGTGAGTTACCAATGTCAGTGAGCTGGCTGAGTGGTCACTATTCCCACGTATAATTTTGAAGGTAATTCAACCTCTACAGAAAGCAGATAAAAGAACAAATAATTTGACTGAGAGGATGAATATATCATTATACCAACTAAATATGTAAAAGGCATATAGGAAGGTGGGTTAAAAATTCTACACTAATAAATTCAAAGACCAAACCCAAGTCTGTTGTAGGGAGTGGTGACTCAGAACAAGGTAGGAATGGATGACGATGTGGGTTGAGTGTTGTTTGTCCTCAGAGCCATGCCTCACCCTTCCCTTGCTCCGCTCTGTATCCCAGGGGCTGACCTCCCAGGCTCCAGGTGTCATTTGCTCTACAGCTGGTTTGGTCAATGGGAGACACTGATGGGAGATTAGCTGGCAGGAGGAGGAGAGAAGCTGGAATATTTCTCTTCTTCCCTCTCATCTTTTTAAGGGTTCCTTGAGCTTCTTCTAAGGTGCTCTGGTGGTGCAGTGGTTAAAGCATTAAGCTACCAACCAAAAGGTTGGCAGTTTGAACCCACCAGCCACTCTGTGGGAGAAGGATGAGGCAGTCTGCTTCCATAAAGATTTACAGGCTTGGAAACCCTATAGAGCAGTTATACTCTGATCTATAGTTGCTACGAATTGGAATTGACTCAATGGCAGTGGGTTTGTTTTTCTGGTTAGAGCTTCTTCTGAGGACCATGGCCATTAGGCTCTGAAAGTAACATCACCTCCTGATTTTATTCTCCCACTCCCCCTTAAGAGAGGTAGCAGCTTCCTGAAAACTGATATGGGAAAATGCAGGATCACATTAGATCACAAAGCAGAGGGTGACTGCATCATTACGTAACTGCCAAACCAGTAAGAATCATGGCCCAGCCAAACTGACATAGATCCTTAACCATCACCGCCATTGTTACTTTTGCCTTGCACCTTGGCCATTTGTTGTGGCTGCATATATGTCATTAATGTGCAGAATAGTTGGACAGTAGATTTTTTACTATTGTAAATTTGAAATGTTGGCTAACAAGATAGTGGGTAACTAGGGAGCTGGTGTGTACTACTCTTCTCAAATATGTGTTGATTTTCTTGTGTTAATAAATAATTTTTTAATGGGTTTTTAAGTGTTCCTAAGTTCTGAGTGCTCTGGTGGCATAGTGCCTAAGGCATGTGACTGCTAACCAGAAGGCTAGTGGGTTTGAACCACCAGCCACTCCTTGGAAGGAAGATTGGGCAATCTACTTCCATAGTGATATCGCCTCAGAAACCCAAGGAGGGGTTGCTATGAGTCGCATCCAACTTGACGGCAGTGAGTTTAAATTCTGAGTAGCTTTCTGTCATTATGTAA